GGTCAAGAGTGCCTTTAAAAAGGCTGTGAGGAAGGCAAAGTCTTCGATAAGATTTAGATTTTAATTATATAAAATCTACATCAAGACATTTTCATACAGTTCAGTCAAGATTGGGAAAATATTGCCTTGCTAAGCCAACAGTTTTTTTTATTGAAGTATAGTCAGTTTACAATGTTGTGTCAATTTCTGGAGTCTGACACAGTGCTTCAGTCATACATGAATATACATATATACATTTTCATATTCTTTTTCACCATAAGCTACTACAAGATATTGAATATAGTTGCCTGTGCTATACAGTATAAACTTGTTTACCTATTTTATATATACCAGTCAATATTTGCAAATCTCGAACTTCCAGTTTATCTCTTCCCATCCCCTTCACCACTGGTAACCATAAGTTTGTTTTCTATGTCTTTGTGTCTGTTTCTGCTTATATATACATTCACTTGTCTTTTTTTTTCAGATTCCATATATGAGTGATATCATATGGTAATTTTCTTTCTGTTTCTGGCTTACTTCACTTAGAATGACATTTTCCAGGGCCATCTATGTTGCTGCAAATGGCATTATTTTATTGCTTTTTTATGGCTGATTAGTATTCCATTATATAAATATACCACAACTGCTTTATCCTGTCTTCTGTCTATGGACATTTAGGTTGTTTCTATGTCTTGTAAGCCAACAGTTTTGTAAATTCTTGAGGTACTTTCTCAAGTTCTCCGTTAAGTCCATGACATAAATGGCTTACAAATACATCTGAAGAATAATAGCTTAGGAAGTATCAATCATGATTGTAAAATTCTTATTATAAAATTTCTTATTACTTACATTTAATTATTTTATGTGATCAACCACACTCTTGTGCGCACATTTAGGCTCACATGCATATTTAAGTACATGCTCACACAGCCATCATTTATTCAAAGCTTGTGTAACTCATACACACAAATGAACATAAAGCTGAGTTAAAGAGATAAATGAAATTAGTCTACTTTTATAGTATAATTTAAAACAATGAGATTCACTTCTGATAGTATATCCTTAGATATAACCTTGGAGTCAAATATCCTGGGTATGGGTTTATTACTGAATGTTTTTCTGTTGTTCTTTTTTTCAATGATGATAAACATCATTATATGGGCATCATTACTTAGCTCAATTTTCATCTTTACAACTCATCATCCATAAGTTACATCTTCATATGACAATATTAATTTATAAAAGGAAGACCAGAGTATGAGACAAGGGAAACAATAATAAAAGCATATTTTAATTCACTGAATTGAAAATAACAACATTCAATTTTAAAGTAAGGTTTGACTCTTTGTCTTTAGACACTCAGCCCAGGATACATTTTATGCTCTTTCCGGTAGATCTGCAGTCAGGCCCCCAATATTGGCGTTCAGGCTCAGATTAGATGACCTGATGGGTCCTTACCAATTTCTAAGAACAACCTAGTCTTGATTTTTAATTTTTGTATGTTAGACTACTATAAATCATTTAGAAGTATGATAACAATTGTAATGACATCTTTAAAGCAATCTGTAGACTTAAAACCATGATCAATTTGGATTTATTCCAGTATCACTCAGATGGTTCAACAGAGAGAAATCAACGTGATACACCACATTAACAAAAGGAAAGATTGAAATCACATGATCATCTCAATCATGCAGGAGAAGCATTTGACAAAATTCAACATCCACTCATAATAAAAACTTCCATCAAAGTGGTTATACAGGAAACATATCTCAACATGATGAAGGCCATTTATGACAAACCCACAGCCAACATAATACTTAACAGTGAAAAGCTGAAGGCCTTCCCGCTAGATTCAGGAGCAAAACAAGGAAGCCCACTCTTGCCCTTTCTACTTAACATATTGTTGGAAATCTTAACCACAGAAATCAGACAAGAAAAAGAAATAAAAGGTGTCCAAATTGTTAGGGAAGATTAAAACTACCACTTCTGCAGATGACATGATGATCTATATAGAGAACCCTAAAGCATCACCCGACAAAAAACTGTTATAACTAATAAATAAATTCAGCAACATTGCAGAATACAAGATTAAGATACAGATATTTGTTGCATTTCTATATGCAAATAATGAAATATCAGAAAGATAAAGTAACAAACAATCTCACATTTAAAATTGCATCAAAAGAAATACCTAGGAATAAACTTACTCAAGGAGGTGAAAAACCTATATTCCGAAAAATACAAAACATTGATGAAGAAAACTGAATGTGATTCACATAAATGGAAAGACATCCTGTACCTTTGAATTAGAAGAACTAAGTTTTTTAAATTGACAGACTATCCAAAGAAATCTACATATTTAATTCAATCACCATCAAAATACCCATGACATTTTTCACAAGACTAGAATAAATCATCCTAAAATGTATACAGAACCACTAAAGACCCTAAATTTTAAAAACATCTTAGTTAAAAAGAGCAAAAGTGGAGTTATCACTCCCCAGACTTCAGACTATACTACAAAACTACAGTAATCAAAATAGCATTCTCCTGGCACAAAAACAGACACATAGATCAATGGAATAGAATAGAGAGCCTGGAAATAAACCTACACATCTATGGTCAATTAATCTATGATAGAGAGGGTAAGAATATGCAATGGAGAAAGGTCAGTGTCTTCAGCAAGTGATGCTAGGAAAACTGGACAACCACAACTAATATAATGAGATTAGAACATTCCCTCACGCCATATGCAGAAAAAGAAAGACACTTAAAATAAATTAAAGACCAAAATATAAGTCCTGAAACCATAAAACTCCTAGAAGAGAACATAGGCAGAATACTGTTTAACAGAAATCATAACAATATTTTCTTGGATCAGTCTCCTAAAGCAAAAGAAATAAAAACAAAAATAAACAAATAGGACCTAATGAAACTTAAAAGCTTTTGCACAGCAAAGGAAACCCTAGACAAAACAAAAAGACAATCTACAGAAAGGAAGAAAGTATTTGCCAATGATGAGACTGACAAAGAGTTATATCCAAAATATACAAACAGCTCATACTACTCAATATCAAAAGAAAAAACAACCTAATTGAAGGAAAAAAAGGGGGAAAAGAGTTCAATAGACATTTTCCCAAAGAAGATATATATAAATCACTAACAGGCACATAAGAAGATGGTCAGCAGAGCTAATTATTAGAGAAATGCAAATCAAAACATCAATGAGATATCACCTTATACCTGTCAGAATGGCTATCATCAAAAAGTCTACAAATAATAAATGTTGAAGAGGATGTGGAGAAAAGGGAACCCTTGTACACTCTTGGTAGGAACATAAACTGGTGCAACCACTATGGAAAACTTCTAACATGGAAGTTCCTCAGAAGATTAAAAACAGAACTACCACATAATCCAGCAATTCCACTTTTAGCTATATATCTAGAAAAAGCCAAAAAACTAATTTGAAAAGATACATTCACTCCAATGTTCATAGAAACACTATATACAATAGTCTATGGATGGAAGCAACCTTGTCCATCAACAGATGAATGGATGGAGAGAGAAATAAATAAATAAATAAATAAATATGTAAATATTACTCACTCATAAAAAAGAATGAAATTCCACCATTTGCATTAACAGGGATGGACTTAGATAACATTATACTTAGTGAAATAATACAGGCAGAGAAAGACAAATACTGTATGTTATTACTTATATGTGGAACCTAAAAAATAATACAAATGAATGTATATGCAAAGCAGAAACAGACTCCCAGATATAGAAATAAACTAGTCATTACCAAAAATGAGAGGGAAGAGGAGATGGGTAAATTAGGGGTATGGAATTAAAAGATACAAACTGCTGTGTATAAAATAGATAAGCAACAAGGCTATATTGTACACCACAGGGAATTGCAGCCATTCTGTCCTCCAGATTACTTATTCATTCTTTTGTATCACCTAGTCTGCTGTTAATTCGTTCTATTTTGTTTCTGACTTCAGTTGTTGTGGTTTTCAGTTCTGATTGGTTCTTTTTTTATTATTTTTATAATTTATAATTCCTTGTTAAAGTTCTCACTGTGTTTGTCTATTCTTTTCTCTACTTGAGTTAGCATTCTTTTTACTAATGCTTTGAACTCTTTATCTGGTATTTATTGCTGGTCATTGTTTTTTTCCAGTGATTTTCTCTTGTTCAATTGAAACAAATTCCTCCACCTTCTCATTTTGCCTAACATTTTTTGTCTCTATGAAATTAATTGAAATAA